CCAAAGGCCACCTTTTGTCCTTGATTGGCCCATCCTGAGACTTCTGTCCCTCATGACCATGGCAGCCTTGGCACAGGACTCAGCATTTCTGAAGAGTAAAGTCATTGGACTGGGCAGAGAGGATGCAGATACCGCAGGGAGGGAAGTAGAAATCTAGGGGGACTGTTTATTGATCCTAAAGTGACACAGAGAGAAAAATGTATCATTAAAACCATGGAGCAGGCTGTTTAAAAAGCTCTGTTCTCAAGAGTCAGGGTTATCATGTGAGAGGGGGCCGGCCGGCCGGCCGGCCACCCTGGGGGGCAGAGGGCAGGTATTTGTACTGCCATGTACCAGGGTGCGGACACAGTAGGCCGAACTCTCACTTTTGGGAGCGGAACGAGACTCCATGTGTTTCCAAGTAAGTGCCTGACCTTAGACTCACCAAAGACACAGAAAGTCCCTACTTTACTTTCTTATGTGATGAATCTGCACTTCCTGAGCTAATGTCTCATGTTTCTTTATGAGGCTTGGATGTTATGAAATTTGAATTCTCAGCCACTGGTTCAGTAGCGGTTTATATTCTAACAGTAGTAATTGCCAGTGGGAATTGGCCTTTTCATCAATACAGAGGCAGACTCTTTTGCTGTTCTTAGGTTCCTCTGAGACAAAAGATCTTTATCAGGAAAGACGTTGTGACTGATTATGCCACAAAATTTATTTTTGTTCCCTTCTAGTTTTCATGAGAAGTGATAAATTGAACTTCCCAAAGACCATGGGCAGTGGACACACTCTTGCAAAACTCAGCATTTAGTCTAGAGACAGGGAAAGAACTTAATGTCAACATAATACAACAAAAACAATAAAAAGTTTAAGAAATGAAATCATAGCAATTTAAAAGAGAAATGAAATAGTCCTTATAAAAGAAGACAAGAGAACAAGACTGCATTAAGATATAATTAAATATTTAGAGGGCCTTCTTATTCGGTGTATTTACTGAGCAACTATTATATTCCAAGCACTATGCTCCATGCGAAAAAGGGAGGGAGGAAGAACCATGCAGATCTCTGCCCCTCTGGATCTCGCTGGGGTAAACTCTGCACAGAGCCGGTTGCGCCAGCATCACCATGCTGCCGTGGAGGCACATACAAGTCACAATGGGAGCAGAAAGGAAGGTGCTGGACCTCCCAGCCTAGCTGCCTGGTACCTATATCCATCCTGCATGGCCCCGCAAACCCCGTGGCCAGCACCCTCCCTCCTTCACCCTTACACCTCCTCATCCTAGCAAAGATGTCACTGAACACATGATTGCTGAAAAAAGTCAGGGAAGGCTTGAGAGGAGGTGAAGTGACTGTTTAGAATCTATTGGTTTGGACCAGTGGTCGACCAACCGCAGCTTGCAAGCCACTTGCGGCTCTTTGGCCCCTTGCGTGTTCTAACACCACTTCTTCAAAATAGATTCACCCAGGTCAAAAACCAACTTCTGCGAATGGGCCACAAAGTTTCAATCGCACTGTACGTGTCCTCGCACACACGTGGTATTTTGTGAAAGAGCCACACTCACGGGGCCAAAGAGCTGCATGTGGCTCGAGAGCTGCAGTTTGGCAACCACTGGCTTAAAACAGTAGCAAGTATTCTCCAACGGAGGTGTTAGACATCAAAGCAAGGAAATTACAGAATCCATCCAAATGCTCATGGTGGGTAAAGGAGATCACATCTCTCCAGGGGAACTTCCTCCCTGTTTATCTGTTCATTTGTTGTTTCATCAAGGCCTGTGCAGGCTGCATTTAGAAAGCTTGGAACCCATCATATTTCTCAAGATCCACAGTTCAGAGGCATAACTGAAATACCTGTGATAGGGAAGCAGCACAAATGAGTATGGGTTTGAGCAGCAAAGGGAGAGAGGCTTAATGATAACTACATGAAGTTATGCAGTTATGTGAATATTCCCACTGCAATTTTAACCTGTCTTTCTCTGCCCTCCAGGAACCACTCTCTAAAAGGGGTGTCCTCCATGATTAAGCCCTACCCATCTTTTCCACTGTTTTAAAACTTCCCTCGAGATTCATTTCCAAAATTAATCCCTGGTTCTTCTCCAGGCTCTTCCAATTCAGCTGTGGGACCCAGAATGGGCATCTACCCTCCAGAAGGCCAGTCCAGCTCAAGCTGGCTTTGAGGGATAGGTCCGTGGGGTGGTTACAAAGGAAGCTGAGGAATTAGGACTCAGTGAGCCAGACTTCTCTCATGTGTCAGAGACAGGGGGATTTGGAGGAGCCTGTAACACAGGGACAGGAAGCATTGCTGCCCAGGAAGGCTGACCCTGCCTGGTTAGAGTTCTTGTAAAGCACCCTCCTATTGTGTAGCATCTGGTGGCTACAATAAGCTGACCTTTGGAGCCGGGACCAGGCTGGCTGTACACCCATGTGAGTAAATCCATGCAAATGACCAGAGTAAAAGTAACTGATGATTTGTCTATGAGAAAACAGGCAATGATTTATGGCAAAGCCAGGGATAAATGGAACATTTGTTTTCCATTTCTATAAGCTCTCGGTGACTTAAAATGTTCCCATTTCTAATATTCAAGACAGAAGTGCTAAGAGCCAGCAGAGTAAATAAAAATCTGAGCTGAATAATTCATGAAAACATAAAAAGAGAACCAGATACCTGGTGCTATCAAGCAAAGCCTATGACATCAGCACCAGGTAATCTGAACATTCAGGAAATCAGCTAAGTGTCCTTGGGAGGAAAGAGATGGTTAATGGCAAACACAAATTCTCTCGTATTGCAGGAGATAGCTAAATTCCCTGGTTTGGCTAATGAGCAGAATCTTCCTCTCTGGAGTTTAAGTGGAGTTTTGAACCTCTCTCCGGATAAAGGTGACTCCAATCCCTATTTAAATAGCAGTTATACCTTATGAAATAATAAGGCATGGAGGCAAGATGGTAGGGGTTTATAGCACAGCTTGGGAGACTGGCAGATCTGGGGGAAATTCTGTCTCTACTCTGTCTAGCTAATAGTCTCCACTTTCTCAAAAGCAAATGACAATAACCACATCATCGTAATATGAGACAACGCCTAGTATATAGCAAGTAATCAACAAATGACAGCTTTTCTAAATTTTATTATCATCAAGGTATTGCTGTATTAGAGTTTACATATTACAAAAGGAAAGGGGAACAGCTTCCCTGGGAAATAGAAAATGTAAGAAACAAAGACCCAGGGAGACTTTTAGGATGGTGCTCTCAGATCCTGATGGGTTCCAGCAGTTTAACATCAGGAAGGTTATTGCAAAGTCCTTACTTGTAGTGGGAAAATACTGGTGGTAACAAGTTCATCTTTGGAGCAGGGACCAGAGTGCATGTCCAGCCAAGTAAGTTAAGTGGGGCAAGGGTGGACATTGACATCTAATTCATTTTTGTCTAAGATGCTGAGTTGAGCCCAGGTATTTTTTTCAGTAAGATCCCACATGGTTCTTTCCACTCATCCCTCAAATATCCTCCCATCTAGCCCTCAATGCCCCAGAAACATCCTTAGTCTAGGACCTAAATAATCATGAAGCAGTGATGGGCAAATAGTCCATGAAAAGATCCATGATACTGCTCCCCTGAGCAGGGGGTTCTGCTATACTAAATTATTGGTTTCTTAAAATCACAACCTCCAACCCAGAGCACTATAGCAAGATGGGGCAGGAGGAAAAGGATTGAACACACCAGAGACAAAATCTCAACACAAAAGAGCAGAAGATCTAACTCTAAAGAGTGTGATTCTTTAGGTTTTGCAGAAAAATCAATGTTTTTCCTATTAAAGTAGAAGGTAGGGCCAGTGAGTTTCTGTGATGGTGTCAACTGTAGTGTGAATCTGGAGGAATGACTGGTAAACTCATATTTGGGAAAGGAACCCAAGTGTCCATAATATCTGGTGAGTCATCCCAGTTGGCACCTCTTGCCACCCGTGGTCCATTGCCACTAATCCTTGCCCTTAGGATCTTGGTGATTACTATGGTGAAGCCAACTGTGGGTGTTCTGATTGTCCTACAGAGACCTTTGTGAAGGGAGAAGCCATCATTATCGATCTTTAAAGTCTGTGTTTCTCTAGGTCAAACACATTAATTAAAATTGAACTCTAATTGTCCAATGGGTATTTTTAAATGCCTTCAATATGGCCATCACTCTATTAAATATTAGACTGAGTATAGAGATGTCTTAGATAGATTTCTGACCTGTACCAAATAGGATAAAAACTAGCAAAAGGGACAGAACTATTGCAAATTCAGCAACCTTAAGACTATTTTAGTATTGACCAATTGATGATGTCAATAGGGACATTAAAGATTCAGAGGAATAGTGCCTTGGCCAGAAAGTTGGCCTAGATGGAGATGGCTTTATGCTGTAGAAAAAGGTTTCTTGAGCCTGAAAGATAAATAAGATCTGTAGGAACAAAGAAAGGAGAGAGTGGGTTTTAGGCACAAAGAACAAAAAGAAAGAAGTCATGATCTTAAGATTAAATAAGGTTGCCGAGACTGGTTTGGCTCAATGGATAGAGTGTCGGCTTGGGGACTGAAGGACCCGGGTTCGATTCCAGTCAAGGGCATGTACCTTGGTTGCGGGCATATCCCCAGTGGGGGGTGTGCAAGAGGCAGCTGATCGATGACTCTCTCTCATCGATGTTTCTAACTCTCTATCTCTCTCCTTCCTCTCTGTACAAAATCAATAAAAATATATTTTAAAAAAAAAAGATTAAATAAGGCACATGCATTTGTGCATAAGGAAATACATCTGATAATAAGGTTAGATGGAGAGAAAGGCAAAAATGTCTTCTTAGGCAATGAAGAAAATGAATATGATAGCCTTCAAGAGAATACAGTCAAGGCTATGGCAAGCCACTAGGAAATGGAATCCAATTTAGAAATGCAGACCAGATATGGAGGTGAAAGAACAGCTCTTTCCATGGATAGCTCAATGGGCTGGGAGAAAGATTAATTACCCCATTCCTCAGAAAAGGATAAACGAAGGGTTTCTGTAATGGAGATATTGGAAGTGTATGACAGTCTTGCCTTCCAGTTGCAATATGGCAAAGGCACCAGAGTTTCCGTCATTCCCAGTAAGTCTTCCCAGGAAGTGTTACTGCTTCCTAATGCTCACCAGAGCCTCAGCAGGATTCAGTCAGTTTCTCTTACATTTCTGGGTTCCTAGGATCTAACTGCAAAGCCCAGATTTAGTGGTAAGGGAGCTTTCAATCACTGCTGTGGCCTTAGGGACCTAAAGCACAGAGCATTGGGACACATGCTTTTGCGCTTAGTTTTTAATTCAAATGAAAGATTAGGATCTAGGATAGCTGAACTTCTACGTTGAAAAATTGATACAGTCTCGTTAGTGATACCTTTGGAGATACCATCTATGGTAGGACATGTTTATCTTGCTATGGTAGAACAGAATGCTCCTCTCCCAGAGCCTTAAAGTCCTCAAAATTAAAAGTAACTTATTTTCTTGTTTTCAGATAAAAATATTGAGGTTGCACCAGAGGTCCATGGGAGTAAAAATAAACCGGGGCTTAAAAAATCAAGTTTAAGGATGAGTACCCAGCTTCTTTAACCAAAAAGCCTAATAAGCAGAAATTTGGCAAACATGATGGTAAATAGCCCATATGTTTATTCAATAATTGATTCTTGAGCACCTCATAAGTGGTATATACCAGGGATGCAGTACTAAATACCAGAGACTGGCCTGTACTGTCACAAAGCTAACATCTCAGGAAGCCAATACTCTTTTAGGGCATATAAAGGGCTTGAGAGAGGAAATTCAAGATTTGCAAGGTTATGGCAGACCCTGAATGTCATGCCAAGAAGTTTGGCCATTATTCAACAGGCCATAGGAAGTCCTGGATTATTTAGAACCAAAAGTTCTAGGCAAGTACTTTGGAGGATGAGCTCAAAGAAGAAACTGAGAAGGAGGACATGGGGAGAGGATGAGCAAGGGAGGAGATCAGAGGTAGGGAAGATGAACAGGAGAAACAATAGCAAAAATGCAGATAGGGATGTCCAAATGGTATTAACTGGTAAAAACAGGATGAGAAAAAAGCTAAAAGTCACCTCAATTATTCTGACTGCATTTATTGCTGTTTTATTTTGATCTCCCATCAGCAAAACTGAGCAATTGGTCTGCCTCTGGTAGTCACCCCTCACAAACTTAAGGATAACATTTAAGTCTCACACTCAATACCTACTATCTTTCCTCAAAGTCTCGTGATCCATGGCATTGCTCTCTCCAGACTGATGCTTTCCAATAGGACTTCTTATGATGGTGGAAATGTTCTCACAGTCTGTACCATCCAATACAGCAGCCACCTCATAGAATGAGGTTTTAACTTTTAATTGAATTTTTAAGCTTATTTAATTTTAGTTAACATTCATTTAAATAGTCACATGTAGCTAAAAATTATCATTCATATTGGACAGCATGGTCTTGACCTTCTCTAGACTGATAACCATTGGCTCTAAGTGTTTAACCAGGACTCAGAGTTGAGCATCTGGCCCCCACAGCCATTCTGCTCCCCCTCAAGCCAAACTGCATCTGGTGGCAACTTGTCCTCTGCCTTCTTCTTGAGGCACATTCTCTCAGCATCTCCACCCACTTCCATGCTCCCCTTTCCAGTCACACCCACGACTCCCACTGATGACTACAAAATCCTTTGGGGTGTGTTGATACTGCTAATGACTTCCCATCTCTCCCCTCCCAGTAAAAAGTTTATGTCATAGGGCCTTATCCCATGGTGATGCCAGGTCCCACAGTATGCGGGGATTGGAGGAAAGCTGGCAGAATCTTTCAGTTTCCAAAGCTTTGGATGTTTCTTACATGAGACCATGGACCCAGTATGCTCAGCTGCTCCAGGGGTCACCCCACCAACAGGCAGTTCTGCCTTGACTCAGCATCCCAAGACCATGCCAAGAGCTGATTTCCCATTTCAGGCCCAGTTGGATGTCTGCATTGCCAAGGCCACCCTGGCTGGCTCAGCAAGTGAGGTGTAGCACTGGTCTGAGAAGCCTTGTGTGCATGGTGAGGAGCTGTGGGAGCAGAGAACCACAGGGGCAGGAAGCTGTAGTCTCAACCCTGCTGTAATCTCTCTGGGTGGCCCCAATGTGTTAATCCTCTGCTACTTCCTCTGAAGGCAGGCGGTCTGAAAGAACAAATAATGAGAATTACACTAAAACACTGAACCGTACAGAAATGCTGAAAAAATTATTCTCAGCTCTTAGGAAAGGCCTTCAACAACTCCTGCTTCCTGGGGGGTGAAGAGTAGAAACTCTGCATTACTCGGTAGCACATTGTGGTAACAATATCCTGGTAGTATCAGTAGCTACAACTACTTACGTCTGCTCAATACTTTACAGTTTATTAAATGTAATTTTATATGGAGAAACTCTTATTAGTTTCTCAAAAAAAGCCTACTTAGGAAAGTGAATGAGGTAACATCTTCATTTTACAGATGAAATTCCTGAGAGTGAAGGGGTGGTATGACTCGCTCAAGCTTGTATCTAGTAAATGGGAGAGCCAGGGCTTGGACAGAAGTGTTTGATTTGTAATCCAGAACTTCTATAGATGTAAGAAATCTCCTACTAATGTGACCGACCTTCTAACTTAATTCCAACCTATTGTAAATTTTTAGATCTTACCAATGCCCAGCATACGTGTAGGAGACCAAGCTAGATTCCAAAATGTATGGTTTTCCTTGCTGGGACTTCTCTGTGCTCCCTCGTCCTGCCAGAGTTGTGTTCTCTACCGGACCTGCTGAGCATTTGAAGAAGTTCCCATTGAGTGGAAGAGTTAGTGGGCCTTCATTTCTGGTTTTCTAGAATGACAGGCAGGACCTAGAAGAGGGCATTCACTGAGAAGCTGGCCTCTTGGCCAGGACACATGGCTTGTACCTGTGCCTGAGTCCCAGTCTGTTGCAAGCAGATGGTTTCTAGGATGTTCTTTTCCATCCAAAGCTTGAAAATGTGAACTGCCAGGCCCAGTGAGCCCTGCTTTTGCCCATCACTGGCATCTGGGCTCAGGCCTCGTTTGGGGCAAGGAGAAAAATGAGCATCTCCTAACCCAGTTCCTTTTGGCCCACAGATATCAAGAACCCTGACCCCGCCGTGTACCAGCTGAGAAGCCCTAAATCCAGCAACACTTCCGTCTGCCTATTCACCGACTTTGATTCTAAAATCACCAATGTGACACAAGAACCAGGAGTGTTCGGCTCTAGCAGCACGGCACTGGACATGAGGGTCATGGGTTCAAAGAGCAACGGGGCACTGCGCTGGAGTGCCAGCTCTTATTTCTCCTGTGAATCCACCTTCAACGGGTCCTTCTACTCCAGCTCAGGTGAGTACAGCTTCATGCCTGTGCAAGCAGAGTCTTCACCCTGAGCCTGGCTAGGCTGGGGCTATCTCAGGCAGACGGTATCTAAATGCTGCTGTGATTGGTGGCCTCAGGTTCATCAATTGTCAGCAAAGCCCCCTTGTTACTGAGCACCAGTGAGCCCCATCCCAGCAGGCCACAGAATGTCCTGGTCAAAAAGAAAAGGGGACAAGATGGCAGGAGAGGGCGCTGGCTCTCGGTCTCACTCACTCTGAGTTCCCACCTCCCTGCCTCTGCTTGAGCTGTTTGCCCCTTACCACTCTTCCAGGCCCCACACTAATGCCCTTCTCCAAGTTCCCTCCCCTTGTTTCTTTTTCTCCGCCAGCACCTGACCTCACTCTGTCACTCCACCATTCAACAACCGCTGATTGTGCATACATGGGATGGAGGAGTAAAAAAGCCCAGGGAGGGGTTTTGAGGGAAACCATCCGTCAGCAAGGAGAAATCTATATAGCCTTAGATTATAGTATATATTTAACTCGGAGTTGAGGAAACAGCTACCTTAGGGACAAAAGTCAGGAAAGGGCTCTCTGGGGAAATTTATTTGAGCTGAGATATAAAGGATAAGAAGCTGTGCCAAGGGCAGAGAAAGGACCCTGTGGAGGCTTGAGGCAGGAGCTGAGTGAGAGAGAAGAAGAGCAGCAGGAATGAGAGGGGAAAAGTAGGCAAGGGCCAGATCAGAGGGCCTCTCGGATCATGGGAGGACAGATACTATTCTAATTACCGTGAGGAGCTATGGTCTGGCTTTACGCAGGGAAATGACATTTGATTTACTTGTTAAAAGAGCACTTTGACTGCTGGGGAGAATTGGATTGCAGGAGCAAGAGTGGAAGCAGAAAGGAAGCTAATGTAGTAGAGAGACGAGGGAGGTCGGGACAGGGTCCCCTAGTTGGGGCTCAAAGGTGGAACCATGCAGAGATGAGGAGGAAAAGAGGGTATCAAGCAAGGTAGCAGCTGGACTTTATGCCTGAGCAGCTGAGTCAGTGACAGTGTCATTTACTGAGACAGAGAAAATAAAGGAAGAAATTTGGGGTGCAGGGATGGACCACATTACAGCATCTACACCCCTATGGCACTTGTCACTGTGTGTACCTTATTGCCTCTATCAGACTCCAGCCTGGAAGTGCCCAAGGGCAGGGTCTGTGTCTCACGGTTCCAGTGGCCTTGTGTCATGTAGCATGAACTTTGCACAATCAGTGTTTGTTAAGTGAGGGAAGTGGTGCCCAGAAGCCAGGGTGTTGGTCCAGGAGCTCTCCCAGCAGGTGCCCACATGTGACAAGTTCCTCCAGATCTCTCCACGAGGAAATATAGAAAAGGCTTCAGACGCTCACTTGTCCTACTCCTAGGAGGTCTGAAGTGGGAGAGTCGGCACACTCTGGACTCTAAGAAAATTTCTTTCTTTTTTTTCCCTCTCCCCTTTTAGAAATTCCCTGTGATGCCACGTTGATAGAGAAAAGCTTTGAAACAGGTAAGAGAGGGGGCTGTCCTATCTTTGCATGGCTTTGCAAGGGTTTGGGGAGCAGGGAGCCCACAGTAACCTTGCCTGGGTAGGGGAGGTGGGAGGGAACTTGTGGATCTGGGAGTGACATCGTGAGGAACAGGAAGAGCAGTTCAAGCCCTCCCCAGAGCAGCCCGGGGTCTTTCTGGATCCCCAGGTTCTTCTCATCATGTCTCATTTTCTTCTCCATTCTGAGAAATGGGAGGGTGAGTCTCTAGTTTGACTCAACCAATGACTCACATACAAGAGCTTCTGTATGCCTTCTGATCACTCCACTGTCAGGAAAGCCAACAAGATCTTCTGGGTGGCCCAGCTGTGAAATTTCTGATGAGTTTATAGCCCTAAATTGACCAGGTCACCCTGAGGGGAGCAGCCCTCCATGCCAGGGGGTTTTGCCTTCTTTCAAGAAAAGCAGCAGAACTCATGGAGATGGTGATCTTCTCTCTCAAGGACCCCATCACTCCTCCCCACCTCCCCTGGGCCCATATTCATTTCCACTTGAGCTGTTTTTATGAGTCATCCGCTTGTGGCTCAACCACTGGGTTCTCACTTAGGGGCCCAGACCCAGAGGATTGCAATGAGTTCTGAGCAACCACCTCCTTCCTCCCTATCCCCTGTGGGGCTCAGAAATAAAGTAAGGACTAAGTGGAGTTGCTGCTTCCCTTTTGAAATGAAATACTATTAATTCCAAGAAATGTGCAAAACTTTAGGAAGGGATGTGCACAGAAGCTCAAAGGAGAGGTAGATCCAGGTGCTGAAAGCCACCCCACTCTGCCTTCAGGAAAACCATCGATAGACCATAGGGAGCTGTGCAGACTTCAGGTGTACGTGCTAACAAACCACTGTGGCCTCTTGGTTTTGCAGATATGAATCTGAACTTCCAAAACCTGTCCGTAATCGGGCTCCGCATCCTCTTCCTGAAAGTGGCCGGCTTTAACCTGCTCATGACGCTGCGGCTGTGGACCAGCTGAGGTGAGCGGGCATCCCAGCCAGTCGGTGGGGCTGAGGGTCTTGGGGTGGGACCCCCAAGCTCTGAAAGCAAACCTGTCCTCAGGATCTTCTTTTTAGGTGCTAAGTCTGGGCCCACCAAACTCCTCCATTTTTTTTTTCCTGTTAGGAGTTCCTCTTGTTAATAATCATGACCTAAGACATTTGCTTAACACAATACATTCCTCGGATGACAAAATTCACCTCAGTTGAGTCATGTCTAACAAAGTATGAGCAGTGGCTATTATCCTCATTTTGGAAAGAAACTGGGGCCAAGTAATATCAAGAGCCACACACTAATGAGTGGGGGGGGGGGGGGAAATAGAGAAACAGGACCCCAACACACATTTATAGTTCTACTATACCTTCTATCATGCCTATAGTTCTACAATACTTTATATCACATCCCTTTCACTGCAAAACCTGAGGGGATTCCCAATTCCTTTTCTCATGTTCTGTACCTCCAATATAGTGAGAAGAAATTACCCTCTTATTATTATACTAGAGGCCCGGCACATGAAATTCATGCAAGGGGGGAGGGGTCCCTCAGCCCAGCTTGCACCCTTTCTAATTTGGGACCCCTTGGGGATCGACCTAAACCAGCAGTCGGACATCCCTCTTACAATCTGGGACTACTGGCTCCTAACCACTCACCTGCCTGCCTGCCTGCCTGATCACCCCTAACTTCTGCTAGCCAGCCTGAACGCCCATAACTACCCTCCCCTGTAGGCCTGATTGCCCCTAATTGCCTCTGCTTCAGCCCCCGCTACCATGGCTTTGTCTAAAAGGACATCCAGAAGATGTCCAGTCTAATTAGCATATTATCCTTTTAATAGTATAGATTATACCCCAATCCTGGCAGGAATCTCCCTCTCTTTTTTCCCCCAGTGTCCTTGGTCATTTTACTGACCAGTACATTTCTTCCTACCACCATAAGAAACAACTCCAGAGTCCATTTGCTCTGAGAACTCTACAAATGGAGGCATCTCCATCACATCCCCAGCTGTCCAGGGTCTGTCTCCTCAGTATCCAGCCTGATTTTTGTTCTTCCTCATTCAAGATCAGCAAGAATGTGAGAGCCCAATGCTCCTCGCCATCCTCACTCCCTCAAGCAGAGACGCGCTCTCAGCCTCCATGAAGGAGAAGGCTTCATCCACCTCTCGGGCCCCACTGACAATGCCACCAACTGGATCCTACCAGATATTTGCAACCAAGATGTTGAAGAACTGCCAAACGCTGCTACCCCTCCTTCTGTCTCTCCTCCTCAACCCCCCCACTGCTGCCTGTACTGCCCCATGTTCCCAGCAAAGGCAGGGGCTCCTGCAGCCTCTTCTGGCTGTGGCCCCCCTACCCCTGCCAGAGGCTGCTTCTGCTGCCCCACTGGGTGGTGGGTCACCAGGGGGTTCTCTGGGGTTCTAGCTCCTGGAGAATGTTGAGAGGAGTTTATATTTTTTTTAAATAATGTTCATAAAGAAATATATATCACCTTTTCCCCAAGATGTAGGGGAAATTATCTCATTATCTAGGCCCTGCTGTGCTGTGTATCTGAGCCACATTGTATATTCTGCTGCCCTGGCTTCATTAAAAGTGTCTTGAAAGAGCAAAGACTGTCTCCTGTTTGACTGGGTCTGATCAGGGTCACGTTCAGCTCACTGTTGATCACTAGCCGAGCAGAAGGAAACCAACACATTTGTTTTTGATGACATCCAGGGAGCTTAACTCAACAAGCTGCATAAGTCAACCTCTTCTTGGAATAACCTCTAAAAAATTCCACTTACAAGGCTGTGCTGGGGGCAAGGCAAACCCACTTAAAAGCTTGGGTCCCTATTCTTCCGTTTTCATGCCACACCATGGGGCCACTTGTGGCAGGAGGCCCATGGACATGGGTGGTAGCAACTGTAGTTAAAATTTGGCAGACAGGAACCACACAGCAAGTATCCCCAAATGCCACCCACTGCCTCCCGTCCCCCAGGAACATTGCCTTTGCCTTTCCTTTCAGACTGATTTCCCGTAGAAACTGTACATTGCCCCACAAATTCATGGCTGGTGACTACCCAATAGTCCATCACCTGGGTCCCAACCCAGTGCCCAGCCCCTTGGGAGGGTGGGGAGATTGTGACCCAGCTAGACTTTACACTCCCACCATCCTGGATGTGGGGATAAGACAGGGGGAGATGAGCTCTCTCCCTTCGAGCCTAGGAACTAAGTCAAGGAGAATAGATGTCTCATGCCATCCCTGGAGGACAGAAGGTGGGATTCCCTGGGAATCCAGGAAACTCCTGAGCCTCCTACTGCCTGAGCATCTTTCCTCTACTGGTAACACCCCTCAGAGATCACTTGGCCATTCAGCTCACAATCACTGCTATCAGGATTAAAGCGTAGCCCAGCCTGCGTGAGCCTATGAGCCAGGAGGTCATGCTTCAATTCCCATCACATGCCTGGCTTGCAGGCTTGATCCCCAGTGTGAGGCATACAGGAGGCAACCAATAAATTATTCTTTCTCATCATTGATATTTCTCTCTCTCCTCCTCTCCCTTTCTCTCTGAAATCAATAAAAATATAATAATAATAATAATAATAATAATAATAATAAAGACTAAAGCCTAGTGGTCTGAGGGCACTCTATCTCCAAATACCTCTATGGTCCACCTGCATGTCTCTGACCACATCAGCTAGAATCATGCAAATCCTCCCGGCTACAATCCAGGCAGTTTCTGTTCACAGCAACAGAGCCACCAGTTCACTAGGTGACCTGGGCATATTCCTCCCCTCTATAAGCTCCAGGGTCACCACCTGTAAAATGTCAGCTAAGACTGGAGGCTGCCTCCAGCTCCATGCACCTCTGATCTGGTGGTACCTGTGAAACTCCATTGTTCGTGTCCTGGCCAGCCTTACGGAGCATAGTTACGATCCCCAGTGCTCGCTGAGGCACTTCATCTGCAGCCTCAACACAAGTCCTTTTAAAGATCGCTAATAGGAAAGGTCTTTGTGGAAGTCCCATCCCAGCGGCTCACTCATGTGTAGGAGGACAGGAACCTCCCTCCCAAAGCAGGGTCTGCCGCCTGCTCATCAGTCTGACACAGGCCAGCGAATCCACCATTGGGGGTTTCTTTTAATTAATTCTCTTCCCCGTATTAGATGAAAATGTCCCTGGGAGAGCTAATAGGGCAAGTGTTTACCAACCATTAAAAACTTAGCACAAATTAGTTTGTCTTCTTTCTCTCCTAAATGGTCATTCACTTTGGCCTGTATACAAAAGATCAAGCAAAGGACAAGTAGGTGGCCAGGGAGGCAGGTCAGGGAGGCAGCTCCTGAGAGTTGGTTGCAAAGATACTGAAGCTGAAGGGGACACGGGCTTGGGGCAGGGACCCTGAGAGGCAGTAAAGGGGCCAAAGACAGGCCCCTCCAAGGACCCTGGAGGAGGCCCAGACCGAGGGAGGCCAGGGGAACCTGTGGAGTGGTGCGAGCCCAGGGCCTCAGGGAGCAGGGCCCGCAGTCACCGGATTCCTCAGGCCACCCGAGGACTTGTGAGGTAATATGGCAGTGGCTGGGGATCCACCCAGACCCTGGAGGGAGTCAGGCCTCCTCCTCCCAGGCCCTGTCCAAATTGAAGGTGACAAGGCCGCAGGCAGGGTGGAGGCCTAAGAAGCTTCCACCTCAAACCAGGGGTTCCTCAATCCCAGAAAGAACTTTCCCCCAAGTCTGAGGCTCTTAAGCCTAAAGCCCATTAAGGCCCCGTCGGAAAGCAGTCCAGGGGTCACCGGGGGTGCTGTGGGGGGAAGTGGGTACAGAGACACCCCTTTGTCCACACTGTCCTCACATCTGGCTCAGCCCCACTGGGGACGTCGGGGGAAGTAAAGTGGCCTTGTAAGGAGGCCCAGGGGAAGGGCTCTGTGCCCACTGGGAAGGTCAGCGTTGGGCCGGGCCACAGCAGAGCCCTTCGTGCAGCGGGACCAGCCTGGAGGGAAGAGGTCACAAAGGAAACCTGGAGACGCGGTCACCAAGTCCGTCCGGAGGCCCTGCCACGCAGAGCCAGAGTCCCCATGAGCAGGACCCAGCTTCAAGGAGGGAAAGCTGCCCTCCCAGCAGAGCCCGTCACAAAGGCCAGTTAGAGAACGGTGCCTCTGGACAGAAGGGCTACTGCCCCAAAAGGCTTCGCCTCAGGCCAGCTTTGGAGGCAGAAGAATGGACCAAGAGGCTTCTCGTGAATCCAGGCCTCAGCTTCTAGAAGATTCTCTGACACTTCACACAGAGACCTGCCCACTGAGGACAACTGGAATCACGGTCCAGTCCGGAGAAGGGCAGACTGAGCGAGCATGCGCTCCAGGAACACGGCTGCCGTGGCCCTCCCCTGGAGAGGCAGCTGCCTGCGTCTTGAAGGATTGTTTATCGTCTTGGTTTGCCAATAAAATTCAACTCCCCGAGGGTTACATGGAAAGCCCTTTACAGATATCACCTTAGTTGTCAGGAAAACATCTCCGCAAGAAATGCCACTGGACTGTGAGCCTGTGGGTGGGATGTGCACTTCACTCATCCCGTGTCTGCAACACCTAGCACAGTGCCTGGCTCCCAGCGCGTGCCAAACACACACCTCACCAGCCAAAGAATGAATAACGTGATTAGTGTAACTGGGCACTCGGGAGGGAGCCAAGTAAGAGGGGGGCACATGAGAGAAGGAAAAGGGGGGTTGATGCAGGGGGTGGCCTGTCAGCAACAGCAACCTGTCAAGAGCTATCAGGGAGCCCTGACCAGTTTGGCTCAGTGGATGGAGCGCCCACCTGCAAACTGAAGGGTCCAGGGTTCGATTCCGATCAAGGGCATGTACATTGGTTGTGGGCACATCCCCAGTGGGGGAGGGGGGGAGTGTGCGGGAGACAGCTGATCGGTGTTTCTCTCTCATCAATGTTTCTAGCTCCCTATCCCTCTCCCTCTCTGTAAATAAAACAATAAAATTAAAATAAATTTAAAAAAAAACTATCAGGGA